CCCCCCGCCCCCCTCATCCCCACTCCAAAAAAACCGTTAACTCGCCACGCCCCTCTCCTCCCTCCCTCCACCCCACCCCACCCACCCATGCTCACACTCCGCAGCCTCACCCGCACCACCGCCCTCACACTCAACCTCGCCCGACACACATCCACCCAGCCCCCATCCATCACAGCCGAGCACGACAGGTCATCACCGACATCACCGGCGACGCACTACAGCCGATTGGCTCAAACACCACCGCAGGCGCGGCGGGACAGGACGTGCCCGCGGAGAGAGATCAACTTTGGCTTGGAAGAGTGGGCGCGGCACAAGTCTGTGTGGCGCCATGCACGACATATTTTTAACGACATGTCGAGCTCGACGCTCCAGCGATTGGCCTTTCCGTCGTTGTCGGTCGTCGCCATGAGTGCCACGGCTGTCACCGTGTACAACACGTGCCTCATCGATGTCATCAACGCCAGTGCTGCCGGGCCTGTTGCCGCCTGGGGCGAGCTAGCTCTCCCGGCTCTTCCCTTTACCCTCTCCTCGCTGGTCCTTGGCCTCCTGGCCACCTTTCGCACAAACGCCGCCCACGACCGCTTCAATCAAGCTCGCGGCGCTTGGGGCGAGGTCATCAACGCCTCGCGCGACTTGCTCCGCCAGGCCGCCGTGTGGATGCCGAAGGATCACGCTGTCGAGCGGCTCCGGCTTGCTCGCCTGGTCAAGGCCTTTCCCGTTGCCCTTAACTTTCATCTCACCACCGACGGCGGCCACTACCTGATCAAGGCGCAGGACGCCGACGCATCGCCGGCCATCCGCGCTGAGCTCGCCGCCGAGTTGCTCGATCGGGTCTGGCCGGCCGGCCCCGACGCCGAGGAGGACTTTGCCCGCACGCTGGACGTCCATGCTGCCGGCGGCAATGTCCCGCTCATGCTCCTGGGTGAGATGGCGGCGACGGTGGCGGCGGGTGCCGCTGATGGCCGCGCCGTCGACGCGGTCGAGATGGACAAGGCGCTGCAGCGGCTCAACACGTCGCTTGGCCGGTGCGAGCGCATCCTCAAGACTCCAATCCCGACCTCTTACACCCGGCACACCTCGCGCTTCCTCACTACTTGGCTCAACGCTCTCCCGCTTGCCCTCTGGCCGGTCCTTGGCGCCCACGGTACCATCCCAGCCTCGCTCGCCATCGCTTACGCCCTCCTCGGCATCGAGGACATTGGCGTCCAGATCGAGGAGCCGTTCAACATGCTCCCACTCCGCGCCTACTCGCACACCGTCCAGGCCTCTGTCGACATGCTCCTCCCCGCCCCACGCCCGCGCCCGCATCCGCACCCGCGCCCGATCGCTAGGCCTCTGTCACATGCCATCAATCACCGCCATCACCCCCCCCTCGTTGCAACCAGCCCTCGCAACCGCCCCACACTGACCCAGACATAAATTTTTTGACACGCGTATTGGCATTTACACCGAGTCACGCGTCAGATTGAGCTATTACGCCGCAAAATTGCAAGACATGGCTCACGCGTGTCGGGTAACCAGCTCGGGCCACGCGCCTCGTCCACACCTCTCCCACCACCTCCTCCCCTCCCCCCATACACATACACCTGGACAGGGCCCCTCCCTGCCCCCGTCAAGCTCTCGACCATGTCATCATCCACGACATCGACACTTTTTGCAACGCCATTGGGAGGCGATGGCTCTGCCGGGGCAAGTGCTGCTGCAGCTCAAGTCGGCGCCGAGCTCGGGCTAGAGACACGATCATGGACGACTCGGATGAGAGAAGCTGCGTTTGGTGCGGCGTATGCCGTGGTTTCTCGTGATTCACATTCGATCAAATTGATTCCGCTCGCTTTTCTCTTGGCCGAGGCTTTGCAGTTATTGGCTCTCCTATGGTCCCGTGACTTTGACTGGGGTCCCCTCTTTGATGCCAGCCTCGAGCCGGCCATGAACGCCCTCGCTTTTCGCCTCTCGACCTCGGACCTCTCTTTCGCGACCTTTGTCATCATATCGCTCATCATCGCTCTCGCTGTCGCTATCTCCGTCGTCGACATCCTCTGGGTGGCAAGAGCCTTTCTCAACGCCAGCTGGCCAAAGATCTGGCCCGTCCACCTCCTCCGCCTTGGCGTCGCCTTTCTTCACACCACCCTCTACCTTCCGGCACTATTGCTGCTCATCGATCCGCTCCGCTGCAACTATGCGGCCTCTCCTCCGGTCCTGGCCCGATTCGAACACATCGAGTGTACCTCGCTCGCTGTCATTGCCCTCATCGCCGTCCGCTACCTCGCCGCTCTCTCACTCTTTGTCTGCGCCTCGCTGCTGGCTCTCGTCAACTTTCAAGAGTCGCCCACATCGTCGCACATCCTTGCCCGCCCGCACTCGCGCGTCGAGGCTCTGCTCCACCTCGCCAAGACCGCCATTGCCCTCATCACCGTCCTCGTCCCGGGCCCGCTGGCTATCGCCTACGCCGTCACCCTCCTCGCCGCTGCAGCTGCTGTCGTCCTCTTCCGCTTCCTCCCGCACTACTCGGTCCGCGTCACGGCCTTTCGTACAGGCACCTACGCCGCCGTCGCAAGCCTCGGTCTCGTCGCCATCGTCCGCCTTCATCTGAGCCCGAAGAATCCCTCGGCGCAGCTCAACATGCTTTTCCTCATCTCGCTCGCCGCCCCAGTCTTTGGCTACCTCGTCGCCGGCGCCGCCACCCTCCGCCGCATCGCCTCGCTTCGTGCCTCGGCAGCCGCCTTTCTGGCCGCGCAGTCTGCCATCTCGCCGCGCTCGTCGGCCTCCTCAGACGCGCCCCGGTCGTCGTCGCCCAGCTCGAGCGCCGCACCCGGTCACACCTTTGCTACTGCCGCAGACGTCGAACTCCTTGCCCGCGCCGCTATCACACAAACCCTCGCCGCCCGCCGCTCGCACTCCACCGCCGCTGTCCGCCCTCACGATGGCCTGCACGTCTCGCAGGCCGTCGCCGACATTTCAACCATCTACACCTGCGGCGTCGAGCAGTACCCCAACTCGCCGTACCTTATGCTGACACTGACGTCGCTGATGGCAAGCCTCGGCGAGATGGACGAGGCCCACTCGACGCTCGACGTTCTCCGCAGGCTCCGCCTCGCCCACGTCGCGCACCTCGATCACGCCTTTGGCGTCTACCGCAAGACACAGGACTTTATCCGCCGCGTTCACGCCGCCTCAATCTCGGCCTCGGCTCCGGCAGACTCGGGCAGCGCGCCCACCACCGCCGCCTTTGACCTCCTCACCTACATTCGCTTCAACGAGAACCTCCGCGTAGCGCAGACCCAGCATGCTCGTGCGCTCTCTGCTGTCGCTCACTTTTGGTCGCTCCTCCACGTTCCCGACGCCCGCGCCGCAGACCGCGCCGTCTTCCTCGCCCGCGCAGACGCCCATGTCGCAGACATCCGCTCCGCCGCCCTCGTCGCAGACGCCCGCTACCGCTCGCTCGTCCGCTCCCATCCGGACTCGCTCCCGCTCCTTGTCTCGTACGCCCACTTTCTCGAGGACGTCCGCCACGATCTCAAGCGCGCTCACGTCCTCTACTCGCGCGCCGCCGCCCTCGCCCGCGCCGACAACGCCCGCCGCGCCGCCGCCACCCTCGAGCGCGCTTCCGCCCCGCGCGGCGCGACAAATCTCGATGGTCACGGCGCCGCCGCGCCCGCCGCCGCCGGCGAGCGCATCTCCACCTTTAGTCAGATCAACGATGCCGTTGACGCCGTCCTCACCATCGCCCGCGATGGAACCGTCACTTGGTGCAATGCCAACGCGCTCTCGCTCCTTGGCTACTCGCTCGCCTCGCACCTCGTCGGCCGCAACATCTCCGTCATCGTCCCGCCGCCCTTTGACCTCGCTCACGATGCCTTCCTCGCCCGCTATCACACCACTGGCAAGGCACACATCCTCGGCCGTGGCCGCCGCAAGCTCGAGGCCGTCGACGCCTCGGGCGTCCTCATTCCCATCTTCCTTTCCGTCACCGCCCTCGATGGCACCACAGAGGCCTCGCTCGGCACCGCCTACGTCGGCGTCCTCGCCCCGCGCGACGTCGCCGGCGAAATCCTCTACCTCGCCCCTGTCGGCCCCGACGGTGCCCTCGCCGTCATCGCCGCCTCGCCCGACGCGCCCGCCGTCTTCAATCTCGCCTCGCACGCCATCCTCCTCTCCATCTCCCCCGCCGCCCTCCTCCCGGCCCTTGCAGACCTCGTCGCCGCCGCCGACTCCCAGGGCCCGGCTCGGGGCAAGGTCTGCCCGGTCTCCGCAGCAGCAGCCCCACTGGTCTCCGGCGCGGTCATCGCCCGCCCTACCGCCGTCCGCCAAGCCAACAGCACCGACTCGGCCTCCTCCGTCGCCATGGCCAGGATCCAGAAAATGGAGGCAGGCGGTCGCGTGGTGTACAAGCTCGAGCTTGAGTCGCTCAGCGACGCCGTGGCCCAGGTCGTGGTCTCGCGCGACGGCCGCATCCTCCAAGCCGGTCACCCGCTCCTGGCAGCCATGGTCGGCCTGCCCGAGGCCGCCCTCCTCGGCAAGCCCATCACTAACCTTCTCTCCGTCGCTCATGACGCCCAGCCGGGCCATGTCACCTCGCACACCCCGCGCGCCGTTGTCGCCCAGCTCGCCTCAGCCCCGGCCTTTGCGCCGCTCCCGCTCCACCTCATCACCAGCGACGGCGAGTTGGTGCCGGCTGCGGCCTCGGCGTCGCGGCTGGCCTCGGTCGCCGATGACGCTACCGCGTCCGACGATCGCTGGACCATCGCCCTCGCCCTCTCGCCACGGGCTCTCCTCACTCCGTCGTCGCACTCGCGCCGCTCGTCGGCGGTCTCGAACCACTCGCCGCACGGCTCGCTCGGCCTCGGCCGCTCAGCTTCCATCGACGCCCAGTACAAAGCCGCGCGGGCGACAACGCCCAAGACGCCCAAGTCGCTTGGCGCCACGCCGCGGACCCCGTCGTCGTCGGCCCGGGCTCCTATCGCCGTCCCCTCCGCCGCTCACCACGCCCGCCGGGTCGAGCGCAAGCTCCGCGCCCCGGGCTCGGCCGACCAGGTCATGCTACTTCGCCGCATGGCCTTAGCCGGCTCGCAGACTCGGACTCGCCTCTGCGTCCTCCTCCTCGGCATCGTTGCGTTTGTCATTGCCGTCGCTATCGCCGCCGTCATCCTCGGCCTCCGCGTCGAGCGCCACGCAGCCCGCGCCGCCGTCGCCGCCGCAAAGCCGGCATCCTTTGCCGCCTACGCCGTCACCTCGGTCAACGCAACAGACGCCGAATCTCTCGCCGCAGCCCATGCCGCAGCCGCCACCCTCCACGCCCGAATCCTCACCGGCGCCGGAGGCCTGCCGGCCCTCGCCGATCTCAGCGGCTCGGGCGCATCCGCCGTCCGCGCCTGCATCGTGAACCCGGCGCCCGAGCTCGCCCCAGCCTCGATGTCGCTCCTTGATGTCGAGGCGCGGCTCCTCGACCCCAACGTACCGCTTGGCTTTATCAACGCCACTCTGGCCTCTCCGGGTGTCTTTGAAGTCATGTCCCGCTGCCTCGCCGCCGAGGTTGCGGCCGTCGCCGCCCTCGAGCGCTCGACGGCCTCGGCATTTGCCATCGTCGTCGGCATCGGCGCAGGCCTCGCCGCGCTCACCCTCCTAGCCCTCCTCGGGCCCTCGGTCCGCGGCGCCATTCGCAACCGCGCAGGCGCGTGGAGCCTCTTCCTCGCTCTTTCGCAGCCGGCCATCGCCGCCCATCTCCGCTACCTCCGCGCCGCCACCCGCAGACTCGCCTCGGACGATCTCAGCTCCTTTGACGCCGACGACAACTACGAGTTGTACTTTGACGAGGCGTCAGCGCCCGCAGCTACGCCACCGCTGGCTTCGCCGCGCAATGAGGCCATGATCACCCGCTACTACGGCCCGCCGTCGAACAACTCGCGCTTTGGCGGGCCCGTCCCGCGTGTCTCCTTCAGGCTCCCGCTCGGCTCGCCGACCTCGTCGTCCTCGACAGGTGCCGCTGCTGCCGCCGCTGCCCTCCTCGCCCACCATCCGACTGCCAACAAGCGCTCGTCAGAGTTGCCAGCCTCGCCGCCGCATGATGACAACGCCACCGACAACGACGCCACCGGCGAGCCTCCCAAGTCCACATCTATGCCTCTGCTGCGGACTATGGCGCCGCAGCCGCGCGTGGCTGCTACCGGCTCGGCGCTACTGCCCCGTCACGGCAACGCCCACGACCGCAATCGCGATCGCTCCGACCCGCACATCTCCACCTCGTCGATCCTCTCCGTCGTCTCGTCGTCGACCACGGGCTGTCCACATTCGCATATGTGTCCCACGTCGACCTCCTCCTCGCCCTCGACCTCCACTTCGTCGTCGGCATCCTCGGCAGTTTCCACGTCGTCGTCGTCGTCGTCGTCGTCGTCGTCGCTCCCGCGAGTCCCTGCGACGCCGACAACACTCGGCCGGTGGCGGCAGTGTCGTCGGCGTCGGAGCAGAATGAGGCGGCGGTCGAAATGATGTCAGCTTCCAACAACAAGTCGCCGATCCTGGTCTCGCCGATGGCCTCGCCTGTGGTCTCGCCGCGGGAGACAGCGACAGCGGTCGGTTTGTCGGTCATGCCTGGGCAGCGACGAATGGCCATCATGGTGTACGCCTATCTCTGCGCCATTGTGGCTGCGGTGGTCGTCATCCTCGTCGCCGCCCTCTGGGCCCTCGTTCCGCTCCTCACCACCGGCTACCTCCTCCCGATCTTGGAGGCCAACGGCAGCCGATGGGCTGCGGTGTCGGCGGGCAAGGTAGCGTTGGCTGGCAACGCTCACCAGTTGTCGCGAGCTGAATGGCTCGCTGCCGCCGAGCAGGCCATGCTTGTGGCGTACACCTCGCGGGATCATCATCCACTTGTCGGTCAGCTTGTGCTCAATCAGTTCTACGCCGTCCACGCCGCCATCAACGCCGTCGTCGACGCCCTCGGCACAGGCGCGGGTCCTGCAGCCGTCCACATTGCAGCGTCGGCCTCTTCGGGCGTCGAGTCACTCCAAGCCACCATCACCTCCAACTTTGGCACCAACATGGTTGCCATTCCCTTTGTCGTCCTCTTTGTCCAGCTCTTCCTCCTTCTCTGCATCTACACCGCCGTCTCCAAGCTCGCCCACCACGAGACCTCCAAGACCCGCTTCGTTGTTCATCTCATTCCGTCACACCTCTCGTCGACCGCCATGACCTCTGCTATCCGCACCCGCCACCCGCACGCCCAGCCCTAATGCCGACGTCAATTGCAGGTTGTTCATTGTCTCGCCCTCGCACTCGATCACGCGAGCCATCGGAGGACGGCACCGCTCTTCCCGCCCATCTTGACATACGCCCAGCGGAGGGCAACCTTGATGCGACCGGCGTTGCCAAGCGGGCCGAGAGTGAAGAGGAGCGAGACGAGGTAGAGCATCGAGATGAAGAGCGAGCAGAGGATGGTCATAAAGATGAGTGAGCCGAAGCGCTTGAAGAAGAGCAGCTTGCAGAAGAAGACCAGAATGGCGCCCGAGGAGAGGGTCGTCACCGCACCGCCCACGATGGAGACGCCCATCTCGGTCAGCGCGTACTGGGTTTTGAGCAGCCGCATCCGCGACGCCTGCCGCGCACGCGGGAGATGCCCGCTCGCCTCGGACTCGTTGTACGAGTGCGCCAGATGGACCGTGTAGTCGACGGCGAGGCCGACGCAAATGACGAGGCCGAGCGACTCGTTGACGCCGAGGGTGAAGCCAAAGACAACCATGGTCGACACGATGGCACCGGCAATGGTGACGAGGGCCACAAAGGCGAGGATGGCCAGCAGAACGTTCGCTGTCGCAAGCACCAGCATGCCGAACGCAAGCGCGAGTGAGATCGCAAGCGTGGTGTAGACCGAGGCCACAAGGAGCTCAAAGGTCCGCATCCAGGCAAACGACTCGGGCGAGGCGCCGGCGCCGAGGGTGGCAAACCGGGTGGTGAGGCTAGCCGGCGGCTGAGCGGATGCCGTCACGCCCACCCACACATCGAACCACTTGCGCATCACCGGGTTGCTCTCCACCACGTTGATGGGCGTCACAAAGTTGAGCACGGCATACAGCGGCACTCCGTTCGCGTCAAGCAGTACGTCGCGCCCGGATCGGATCGACACTGCGTCAGGCGTCTCCAGAAACGCCGCCAGCTCGCTGTTGAACGCATCGGCTGCCACGGGGAAGCTTCCGTTGCGAACTGTCGTCACCCACGCCGCAAACTCGGTCATGAAGCACCGCGAGTCGTCGAGCCCGCTTTGCAGGACGAGATTGCCCACAGACGGCGTCGTCCCGCACGACGCGCACGTCGCCGCCTTGACCTGTGCGCAAAAGTCGACGAGGAACTGCTGCGCCGCCGGCGGGGCGAGCGAGAAGCTCGGATCAAATATCAGCCGCCCGACCTTGCCCTGCTCGTTACGGTCGAGTTTCTTGCCCGACGCCGTCTCTCGCTCGAGGCCCGCTACGCCAAAGATGACTCGGATGGTGTTGACCTCGGACGCTGGGTCGGGATCAAAGGCGTTCTCGTTGAGCTCGACTGCGTCGTGCGCCTGCGAGCCAGATGGCAGGCCGTTCTCAGGCTTGTTGGGTGGCTCGAGCGCGGTAAAACCCCAATGAAGAGGCCCAGTGCAATGACAAAGACCACCACCACGCCCCACCGGATCTTGAACAGCTGCGGCGCGTAGATGTTGTGGAAGAACCGCTCCATGAACCGCATGTTCTCGATGTTGTGCGCGTGCTCGCCGACGACCGACCCATCGTCGTCTGATCCATGCGGCGATGTCGCCTCCGCATCGCTCGTGGCCGAGCCAAAGCCCGAGCCTGAGCTTGGGCCGCTCGCCTCCTCCTCCTGCTCCTCGAGCTCCACTCCGTCTTGGTCTGCAGTCAGCTCATGGGTCGCCGCAAACCGATCGGTGGCGCGGAAGCAGCACCGGTGAGCGCAGTGCTTCGACCACAGCCAGACGATGGCCGGGAACCAGGTGATGACCAGCAAGTAGTTGACGGCAATGAGAGCGGCGGAGAAGATGCCGAACGAGGCGATGGCCGGGAGCGGCGAGGCCGCAGTGGCGGCAAAGGCCACAAAGGTGGTGAACGAGGTGACAAACATGGCCGACGCCGCACGCTTGTACGTCACCGTCATGCGGGCAACTGGATCCGAGGTGATGGCCGCCGGCAGGTGGGAGACCTGCTTCCACGCGTCGACAAAGACAAAGACATCGTCGGCGCCGACGCCAAAGAGGAGGAGGAAACCAAGGACGGCAGGCAGCGGCCAGACCTTGATCTGGAACACCACCCGATACAGGAAGTAGGCGCCAAAGAAGGAGCAGAGGATGTGGAGGAGGCCCATGGCGGCGAGGAGCGGCGAAAAGGTAAAGTACGCCATAAAGGCGTAGACAAGGACGACAGAGCCCATGGCGAGGAGAAGATCGCCCATGATGTACGAGACGACTTCGAGCGAGATGATGGTCGACCCGAGGTGATTGACCTTATAGTAGCCCGAGACCGCGCCGTTGTTGTCGAGCTCCTTGAACACCTGCACGTACTCCTTCATCAGTGTCTTAAACGCATCCTCCTGTGCGTCCTCGCCGTCTGATCGCGAGCTGTAGCCCTTGAGCGGCCCGCCAAACTGGATGATGAGCCGGGTGACCGGATTGCGGAGCGTTGTCGGCGAGAACATCCGCGAGAAGAACACCTTGTTATCGCCCACCACCGTCCCATTGCCGTCGAGCTGCGCCCGCACAATCCCGTCGATGCACGCCTGATCGAGCTCGCCGCCGCCGCATCGCGGCTCGCCCTCGCCTGTATCGTCGGTGTAGAACATCCGCAGCGGTGAGACCGGCGCCGTGCAGTTGCCGCTCGCCGAGTCGCGGAGGCAAAAGTCCTCGTACTGCGCCACACTCATCAACCGCCTCTGTGCCGTGCGGATCGCCGCCAGGCCTTCAGGTGTGAACGCTCGCCCTGAGTGCGCCGAGAAGAAGACGACCAAGCTCTCGGTCGCCTCGCTCTGCTGCGGGATGACCACGCCATCCTGCGAGAACTTGAGGATGGCCTCATACGCAAGACCCTGCCGGACGATGGCATCGCCGAGAGCGAGGAACATGCCTGTCCCATCGCCGCCGCCCGAATCGATGCCAAACACGGCCAGCGCAAAGACGCCGAGAAGGATGACACTGCCGAGCGAGATGCCGGCCACCAGCCACGGATGCTTGACGATCGCACGCGGGAACCACGTGCACGTCATCTCATCGCTCGCCAGTGCTCCCGCATCCTTGCCACTTGCGGTAGTGCTCCCAATCCGCCCCGCGCCCGCCGCCTTGTCGCTCCCGCCTGTGCCATTGTAGGAGGAGGAATACGAGCCGCTGACGCGCGGGTGTGAGGTTGAAATTTTTTCAGAGCTTCCTGAACCCCTTGTCTTTCCGAGCGTAGCTTCGCCGACTCTCCGCCGAGCACCGTTCCTTCCCGACGACCAAGACGAGCTGGTGGTGGCAGAGCTCGAGCTACTCGCCGAGCTACTCACTCGCTTGTGGCCACTCGCTGTGGCTGGCTTTGACTCGGTTGTCATGCCCTTGCTGCCCATGAGCTCGCTAGCGTGTACCCGCGTCGTGACTGATGTGTGGGGGGAGGGAAGAGCAAGTCGCGTGTGTGAGTGAGAGCAATACTGCGTTAAGTCATCAAATTAGAGGTGTTGCTGCATGCTGGCGGCACGTGTCGGTAGTCATTGACGATGTGTTTCGCCGCAATGTTCATGATTTGCCGACTGGCACATGCTACATACATAAGAATCGCACATGCGAGTATGGACCTTTGCTGTACAATTTACTTCGCTTGCCAACTTGTAGCACCGCAGATCATCGGCGAGATCTTCTTTCAGCTTGATGGGGAGAGCCGGTGCGGGAAGCGGCGATGCTCAGCTCACATCCGCAACTGACCTACCTTCACCAGGATTAGCCGAAATCCCCGCAGCTATTGCCACTTTGGTCAATATCGCTGGAGGGGGAAAACCCTCCGCCTCCGCACCACACCATCGGCCCCTCCATCGTGCTCCGCCACTCCCTCACCTCCTCTTACCCTTAGTAGCCAGCCTCTGGCCTCGCTCTCGCGCCTTTCCTTCCGTTGCACCCTCCATCCATCCACATATCCGGCGGCCATCCCAAATCCACACCCCCAAAGATTCGTGCACATGTCGAAACTAATTTCTTGACCCAACCGACAAGTGAAGTAGAGCCTCTCACCTGTCAGCAGCCTGGTATGATGCGCAGCCCGTACATGGCGAGCATGCCGTCCAGTGAGATCCGGAAAGTGACCATGTCCCCATCATGTGCGGGGCAGTAGTTGCCCACAGCAGCGAGCCAATCATGATTTGTTGAGCCAATTAGTGGCGGTCAATGAAAGCGTTTGCGGGTCAAAACGTGTCATTCTCCACTGAATGACAAATCAACGTTGTGTTTGGTTGCGGGAGGAGCCTGGGGAAGTTCGGCAGAAGGGGTGTAGCCATAGACACCACGTGAGCCGCATCACTTGAGTAATTATCATCCCTGACAAAGGGGAAGCTCCCCTGAACTCATCTCTGTCAACCTGGCACACATTCGCACACCACCCATACACATACCAATGATTCAAGGTGGGGCGGCGACGCTGGCGAGGACAGCCTGCTGTCACCGTGGTTCTCCTCCTTTGACTCGGCAAGCAAGGATGCGACCAGCATCATCGGCATGACGACCAACGCGCCTGCGATCATGGCCGCAAAGGCGCCAACGATCATCGCAGCATCATCGGCATGACGACCAACGCGCCTGCGATCATGGCCGCAAAGGCGCCAACGAATATCGCAGTTGGTGTGACCACCAACGCACCAGCTATCGACAACAACAACAACATCATCGGCATGACGACCAACGCGCCTGCGATCATGGCCGCAAAGGCGCCAACGAATACGGCTGCCGCGAGCAAGGATGCGACCAGCATCATCGGCATGACGACCAACGCGCCTGCGATCATGGCCGCCTACGGCCAACGCTATCAAGAGCTTGGCGAGCTTTTCCACGCCTTCTTCTCGATCCTCTTGGTCATCATCGTCATCATTGTCATCATCCTCTCCGACTCGATGCTCGTTGTCGAGTCTTTCGATCCGTCGCCTTCTGTCCGGGTTCACTACTATACCCCCTTGAGTGTCGAGCTGGGTGATAGCTCTGTGCCCGATACAGCGCTGATTGCCAGACTTGTGGCTTCGTTCAACGACCTGGCGCTGACAAACAGATCGCGGCCGAGCGCTGGGCTGTTCCCGCTCCCACAACCGGCGACAAAAGACGATATTCTTCCACTGCTCCGTTCGCACGCTCCGCCAGACGTGCTACCTCTCCCGGCTCATCTGTTCGGCATTGCGAGTGATGATCTCTTCGTCTCGCTCGCAGACATCTGGGCGAGCTCTGGCCTCGAGTCGTACGCCTTTCGCTCCGTCCGCCGGCGCATGGAGAGCAGCGTTGCCGCGGACCCAGACCTTGTCGCTGTCCCGCTCGAGGTCTCTGCCGACGTCTGTATGTATTCTTCGCGAACCATAGCAGCTCTCGGTATCGACTCGCCGCCCAACACCCTTGACGACTTGATTGATGCGTGCATCATTGCCCGCGCCGCCGACCTCATCTGCCTCTCTGTCACCTCACCGACGCTGCTATTTGACTACCTTGCCCTCCGCTCACATGGCACCGAGTTCTACGCCTTATTTGTTGCCGCCAACGTCTCGCTCACCGATCCGCGGGTTGTGCATACCTTTGACGACGTGCTCCGGCTCATTGACATCGCCGCCATCGGTCCGTACACTCTGCTCGCCAGCCCTGCCCTCGTCTCCGGTTCGTCCCTCTTTCACTGCGGGCCGTCGTCGCGTGCTGGGGAGTTCGCCAGCTACACCTCGGACCTCGCCGCCTTTGCCTTCCCCTCGACTCAGTCCGTCTTTGCTACCCGGCCCGAGCTCGAGCCCGCGAAGCTCGGTCTCATTGGCTCGGTCTCTGGTTTGGCCGCTGCTGCTCGCTCGCCGTTCCGCGACTCGGCACATGCCTTTCTCGCCCACTGTGCACATCCAGCCGTTCTGCATGCTGCTCTCGCGCCCTTGCCGCACATCGTCTCGCCGCGCTTTGACGTCGCAACCCTGCCCAATGCCACCGTCGCCGCCACCGTCACTACACTCCTCCGCAACCCGCGCCTTGCCTCGCTGCAACATGCGTCGTCCAGGACGGGTTTTGGTGACCCGCGCCTCGCCACCGAATGGATCGCTCTCCACTCGCTGCTTCTGGCCTCCTCCTCGGTCGCCAATGCCACCCACGCGCTCGACATCGCTCTGCCGCGCCTCGATGCCCTTCGCCTTGCATACGTCTTCAACAAGGCCGCAGTCCCCATTGCTTCGCTCTCGTCGGGAACCTACTCAGCCCCGATCGAGCTCACCCTCTCGACATTCACTCCAGGCTCAAAAGTCACCATCTACTACGCCATCGACTCGGAAACGGCCTGGAAGCGCTATGTCGGACCCATCGTCCTCTCCGCGTCCGGCGTCTATATTGTCCACGCCCATACCGTCGTCCGCACCATGACTCCCTCGGATCGGCTCTCGGTCACACTCAACCTTATCGACAGCCCGAATCCAAGTCGCGCCACTGATCTTCCCGTCTACGTCATCATCCTCATTGTCGTCGCAGTCCTCGTCTGTGTCTTTGGCCTTGTGCTCATAGCTGTCTCCTGTGCCCGTCGCTTTGTCTGTCCGTCGGCATCGGTCGGCAGCATGGCCAGCTTGCTTGTTGTTGACGTCGATGACCTTGTCTTTGACTCATTGCTTGGTAAGACCGCGCTCGGCGATGTCTACCTTGGTCGCATCCATGGCACGCCCGTTACCATGCACCTCACCGCACCAACGAAGCTCCCGCCCACAGAGGCAGAGAGGCTCGTTGTCGAAGTCGTTGCCCTCGCAGGCCTCGACCACCCCAACCTGACAGGCATCATCGGCGTCTCCACCTCGCCCACAGTCATTATCTACGAGTTTACCCCGCGCGCCTCGCTCCGTGATGTCATCCACACTCACACTCTCACCATCGACTCGTCCATGGTCTTCAAGTGGGCGTTCGAAATGGCTGCCGCCCTCGCCTTTCTCGCCCGCAACCACACTCTTCACGGCAACTTCTCCTCGTTATGTGTCCACTTTGACGCAGACTGGACTGTCAAGGTCTCCCAGTTTGGCCTTCACTCGATCCACGCCATCGCTTCCAGCCCGCTTCTCAGCCAGAGCTGGTCGGCATACCGCCGCTCACCGCCGCTTCCATCTCGAGTCTTGTCACCTCGGCCTCGGTCTCCCACGTCGGCCCGCCTCAACCGTCGGCGACGATCCCGACCCGCTCGTCGCGCGATGTCTCGGACGAGTCTGGTGACGACTCGCCTGGCCTACGAGTCTCAGTCACAGCGTCGGCCGTATCGGTCTCCGAGCTCGAGGAAGATGTCTGTAGGCTCTCAAGCTCCGCGTCAGAAATGCAAGAGCATAGCGAAAGCGACTTCATGGTGTCACAAGTCCAGTCGTCGCCATCGTTCGCCTCGCGGACCGAGCCACGTACCGCCATGTCGAGCTCTCGTCTCATATCGTCCGAGTCGCTGGTCATAGCCGAGGGTCCGCATACACCATCTCGCGCCGCAGGCGGAAAGGCGCTTCCGTCAACTGCGCCAGCTGCCACACCCACCCTGTTCTGGACCGCGCCAGAGGTGCTTGCCTCTGGGCGCTCGCTCGTCTCGACCTCGTCGGATGCCTACTCGCTAGCCATTGTCCTCTGGGAGCTCACCACTCGTGCCCAGCTGTATCAGGGCTTGAATCCAGTCGCTGTCGCCCTCGACGTCATGCATGTCGCCCGACGTCCACCCATCGCAGCAGTTCCGCCACTGTATGGACCCATTGCTCCTGTCATCGAGCTCTTGTGGCGTGGCTCGCCCACTGATCGCCTCACCATCGACGCCGCAACTCACGAATTGGGCCACCTTGTCCATCCCGAGTCGTTCACCTTTCCCGCGTCGATAACCGTTCCACCCGGTGTCGCGCACGTCGTTCACTGTGAGCTCCGCAATGCCGCACGCCTCCTCCTCAGCAATCCTCAGGCGGCGCATCGCCTCCTTACCGCTTTCCATGCCGTCATCCCACAGCTCGCACGCTCAGATGGTGCCATCATCTCGGCCTGGGGTATCAACTGGATCACGCTCACCTTCAAGTGGCCGCCGGACATTGTAAGCTTTGCCGAAGCCGTCGGCGCCCACACTGCCATCGCAGAACCAGTCACCATCATGGCGGTCAAGGCCAAGGTCGCCACCACGCTCGACTCGTTCGGTCACCCGTGCCTCTCTGGGCCGGCAATCGACGCGTTGGCCGTCTCTTGGAACATGCTTTTTGGCTCGGTTGTCTACACCATCCTCGCTGGCATCTCGGCCTCGGCCGCTTCGGCCATGGCCTCGCGCTTGGCTGCGCCTTCGGCCTTGGCCTGGGAACACGGCTTTTCCGGTGGCCTCTTCGTCGACACCGTCCTTGCCCGCAATCTCGGCTCGTCCGCCAAACTGGTCCACGTTGTCGGCTCGGTCGTCCAGATCGTTATCAAAGGCCACGTCTCGGTCCACGACATCGCTGAACCTACCAATCTTCCCAGCGGCACCGTGCTCCCAGCTCTACAAGCTAGTAGGCAGAGTACTCGCATGCGATGGTCGCGGAGCTCGGCCTCGCCTCATCGCTCGCGCTCGCACGCGTCAAGCTCGGCCTCGCCGCACCGTCCGTCAGACGCCTCGGCCTCAGGCGTGGTCCGGGTCGACAAGCGATTCCACGCTGGCGGTGCCCACATGACTCGTACTACCCCCAATGGCGGACACAAGAAGCGCCGTGCCCGCCGCGTTCATACCCGCCGCGTCCGTACCCGTATCAAGCACCCAACTGCAGCCACCGATCATCGCTCCGTCAAGACGGGTTCCCGCATGCGTCGCGCCACCGCCCACGTCTCCAAAGATATGACCGACGCCGGCCTCTCGGCCACCGCAGCCACAACCCAGGCGGACACAGTCACCCTCCCGATTTACTCCGAGGCGGACGGCACTCACCTTTCTGGCTCATCGGCAGTCCAAGGCAGCAAGAGCTCGTCAAGCTCTCGCTCCTCGCTCTCGCCACCATCGATGACATGCTTGCCCACGCCTCCAATCGCTGTCCGCCTCCAGGAGCCTTCCAACTCGCACTCGCACTCGACCTCGCTGGGCCTAGAGGCATTGATGGGCACCACACGAACTGTTAAGCTCGACTCGGGCACGTCGTCGGCCGAGGAATCGCCCCGCGTGGCGATGACAACGTCAACCTCTATACTATCGTCTTCCTCGTCTACGTCCAGCCAGGACACCATTCCTGCATGCACGTCCCACGAGAGAGCTGCAGTCGCGGCCAATGCAAACTCAGAGACCTGTGGCTCGTCATCGCTTGTGCCGTCTCCAGCGCGGTTGCAAGGGAGCTCTTCCTCGTCTTTGTCTTCGTTCTCATCCGACCCCGCCCAGGCCCCGCCTACCACGCTACCGGATCTCTTCTTTGCTGAGGAGAACGAGTCGGTGGGCGCGGGGAGCTCAGGAAGCTCGGATCGCTCGGGCTCGCTGACGGCAGACGAAGAGCACGAGTCGGTGGAGAGCTCGGAGACGCCGCTCGGAACCGGCATTGCCGGCCTCAACCGGACGCTCTCCGTCAACAACCTCGTGTCGATGGAGGCACGGATCCTCCGCCGCGAAGATGTCGACGCCGTGCTGGCCAAGTCTGGCGTCTCACAGTCCCCGATGTGGCGCACTGCATACACGACGGCCTATCTCGGCATGCTCTCGCCGGCCATGGTCAACCTCTCCATGCCGCTGCCAACGCCAAGTGAGCACGGCACGATGCCGCACTCGCCATCGCCCGGGAGCCGCCCATCCAAGCGCGTAGTGCTTGAAACGGATATGGCGCTGCAAAACTCGCCGGCGCTCCTCGGCTCGCACATGTTTGTGCCTCATCCGCGCGACGTGGCGACAGCCTCGATGAGCAGCATCGTCACATCGCTGGCACCGGCTTGGACCTTCGCAAATCGTCCGCAAGCCGGAGAGTGAGCAAGAGCAAGCCGCCGCTGCTGCCGCCGCTACTGCTGTCGTACCTGTGGTGGTCAAGGTGCTGGAGCGCCAGTCAGCGACACCGATGGAGCTTATGAATGTGGCCGAGGCGCTGGCGACGGCGTCCAACTACGCCAGGACTTCGCGTCGGCTCGTCGGTCCGCTGGCCTTTTGCCTCGACATCCCGCGGCTGGCGTACATAGAGCGGCTGTATCCGGGCCAGTCGCTGGCCCAGCTCCTCGCGCTTCCAGCTCCGCCACCGAGTGCGCTCGCTGCAGTCGCGCGCGGAATGGTGCGCTCGCTCATGCGACTGTACGCAGCGCAGCCGCGCGAGCGCCAAGGCCACGGCGCACTGCGTCCGTCCAACGTCCTGCTGGTGGTCACCGACTCTGTGCCTCGAGCGGTCGTTGACGCCCACATCTCGGGCTTTGGACTCGCGAGCCTGCAGACGATGACGTCGCGGGCGACGGTGCTCCCGCTGGTCCAGTACCTCGCGCCGGAGCAGATTCGCGGCGAGGTGCAGCAGTCAGTCACGAGCGACGTCTTTATCCTCGGCTCCATCCTCTACGAGATGGCCTCGGGTTTCAGAGCCTTTGATGGCTCGGATCCACTCGAGGTCAGCGTCCGCATCTCGGCCGGCCTTGCACCCGACCCAGAGCCAGTCTCCATTCCCTCGTCGCGGCTGAGAAACCTCATCGCCTCGTGCTGGGCCACCTCCCCTGAGCAGCGGCCCTCCATCGCCGAGGTTACCACCATTGTCACCTCGTGCTCGCCGCACGACTTTGCCCGTGGCGCACACAAGCCCGTGGCCTCGCCCTCGCCCTCGGACCACGTGGTGTAGAAGGTGATAGCCGAGCCATGATGGACGTGGTAGTGTGCTTGGATGCGTAGTGTGTAAACAGTTTGTTGGCCTCGTCCCTCGCTACCTGTCCTCCCTGCCCCCTCACCGGGCCGTCTCGGAGCTCGAGTCGAGCACCGATGACTGGACCGATGACTCGCCGCCGCCGCCGCCGCTCATCAGCGCGGTTATGACCATGGGTGAGATGCCCGGTAGCGCCGGCGATGGTGCTCGCGAGTTGGTCCGTGACACCGTCCGTGACGTTGCTCGCGATCCAATGGGCGTCAGCAGCGGGGTGCGCATGCCGACGGCTGCAGGCGGGTCGGCGTCCAAAGCCGACTTGCCCGGCTGCAAGCACGCGAGGCTGATGTCGTTCGATCCTCCGTCCATCACTGCCATCGCTGACGTCGCCGACATTGCCGACGCCTCCTCGTCACTGCCTAGCCCGGGCCGGAGCGCAGAGCGCCGTCGCCCGCGCACGGCGTAGATGGCGGCGGCAGCGGCAGCTAGGAGCAGAAGCAGACCGCCGATGAGGGCGTAGAGGCCCCTGGCGGTGGGCGAGGTGAGATCCGACCAAATCTGCGGGGACGAGGAGCTGCCTTGGGCTTCTGCGAGGTGTGAGCCCTGGTTGCCGTTGCCTGCGGCAGCGTTGGGCAGACAGGTCGGGCGGACAAAGGCGATGATGCCGTTCCACGCCGCCACCACGCCGAGGATGGGCACGACTCCGCCCGATGCGGCGAGACCCGATGGGCGGCTTGTTCCTTGTCCCGCTGGCCATGCCGCCGATGGGAGGTAGCTCGTGGGAAAGGCGATGGTGTCGATCTCGTCCATGGCGTGAAGCATCAGAGATGTCACCGGCGTCGTCGCCGTCATCGTCACCTTTGCCACGACCACCGCCTCGGGCGTACCGACCTGGATGACGCGGATAGCGGCCCATGCCAAGGCCTCGCCGCTGGAGGCGGTGATCGGCTCGATGGCGATGGAGACCGGCTCGATGGCGTCGCCACCGATGAGCAGCGGCGGGCCGGTCGTCACGCTGGTTGCTGTCGCCCCATAGCTGATGACAGTGTGGAGGGAGCTTGGGTTTGGAATGACAACAAGGCCGATGACGTCGTCGGTGCCCGCGATGGCTGCGATGGGCGAGAAGACGCCGCCGGAGCCAAAGGCGAGGAGCGGCGAGATGGCGGCGGGCCAGGAGGAGGTCAGCGGGAGCAGATCGCGCGAGACGATGACGGCCTTGTCTCCGGCAGCGTCAACAATGAGGGTGTGGATTCTGGTGGTGCCAAGCGCGGTGGCCATGGTCCGCGGTGAGGTCAAGTTGGCGGCACCGGTGGCGAAGTTGGGCACGATGGTGAGGCCGGCGGCGCCGATGCCGCTGCCGTCGAGCGGGACATGGATGAGCACGTTGTCGCCGCCCATGACGGCCGAAAGGTACATGGAGATGGACGATGTGGCATGTGCGAGGCCGACGACGTCGAGGAGGGCGTCGATCGGGCCGATGGTGTCCAACTCGACCGTGGCGAGCTTGAAGACCCCACAGAGGCCCGAGACCGCCGAGTCGAGGATGAACATGGTGACGACGGGCCGGCGATAGGGCGTATCCGAGATGGTGTCGCCGGCAAAGCGGGTGCCGGCTACCGAGGTGACGACAGCTAGGCCATCGGCGCCAAAAGTGAAGCAGTGCGCGCCGCGGACGTCCCCGTGGAGGACCATCGAGCCCACAATAGCCGAGTTGGCGTCGCGGGTGACGACATGGACGCCATCGCCCTGGGCCGTGCACGTGGTCACAGCGCCCGGGCCGGCCGCCGACGAGGCGAGGAGGACCAGCGAAGGCGCGTCGCTGGGCGATGCCGGCGTCTCGGCCATCACCAACTTCTCGCCGGTGAGCTCGTTGCAGAGCGATGCCACGGAGCTGCACGGTGATGGGCCCGGGGGCGGAGGAGGCGATGGCGATAGGGGTGGAGGGGGCGATGGCGGCGGAGGGGGTGATGGCGGCGGAGGGGGCGATGGCGGCGGAGGGGGAGGAGGGGGTGATGGCGGCGGAGGGGGCGATGGCGGTGGAGGGGGAGGGGGCGACAACGGCAAAGGTGGAGGAGGATGGCGGCTCTTGCTGCCCTTGCTGCCCTTGCTCCTCTTGCTGCTCCTCTTGCTGCTCTTGTCGATCGTAGCCTTGCTGCCCTTCTTGCTCCCCTTGCTGCTCTTGCTCCTCTTGCTGCTCCTCTTGCTGCTCTTGTCGATCGTAGCCTTGCTGCCCCTCTTGCTCCCCTTGCTGCTCTTGCTCCTCTTGCTGCTCCTCTTGCTGCTCTTGTCGATCGTAGCCTTGCTGCCCTTCTTGCTCCCCTTGCTGCTCTTGCTCCTCTTGCTGCTCCTCTTGCTGCTCTTGTCGATCGTAGCCTTGCTGCCCCTCTTGCTGCTCGTCGCTTGCTTCGAAGCCTTACACTGCGACGAGTCGCGCTTCTTCCGCGATAACTTTGTGCGGCTCGGCTTCTTCCCGACAGAGGTTCGAGATAGCATGCTTGTCTCTGCCGCTTGCTTCTCTTGTTGCCATGCCTGAACCACGTCCAATGGAGGGATGCGATAAGTATGGGCTGCGGCGGACACGCCCAAAAAAATATAGTTTGTTCCGCCTTTTTTCACCCGCGCGCCACGACCACGCGCTTGTAGCATGGGATACTGAAGGGATTGAAGGAATCGAGGGCTTCTTCCGTAGCTCTCTGGCATGACAAGTAGAGTAGGTAACGTACAAGTGCAACGAGAGTGAGAGTCTTGTCGTTCTCCTCGTTGTTGCGCATGTGGAACGGTTTGGGACGGCGGAGAAGTTGTTCGTTGGCTGGGAAAGTGTGGGATACGAGGAGAGAGCGCACCTGCAACGGCTTCTCACCGCCATCACGCGCCGCCACACACACGCCCATCGCCATACACATACATGCCACCGCCATCAGTGGCCATGCCCCGCCTTGACGTAAGTGCATCGTCGACATCAATGCGTGCTCTTAGCCTGGTCTCAGTCAGAGTCGAGTGACTGCCGCCGCCAGCAGTTGCTTGCCAGCCGGCGCTCCATCACGCACCACATCATGCGCCCATGCGCCACTAGCCCGAGCATTCTCTGGCACTCGTACGCCACGAACTTGTCCGCCCCAGCATCCCCCACTCGATCACAACTACACCACAACCACAACCATAACCATCAGTACACGCAGCACACACACACACACACACACACACACACACACACACACACACACACACAAACACAGCCATAATATCCCATCCCCCTGCGCTACTACCGCCATCGCTCGCTCCATCGCCGGCGCCATTCACACCCGCTACGAGCGCATCGCTCCGACCGCCACCAAAAAAAAAAAAGAATTGACAACGGGCTCGCACACACAGTGCTTGCGGCCCAGAGTGACCCAAGCGACTCGAGCAGCGACAGCAGTATCGACCACCTATCTCAGCCCGCCACAGACCGAAGGGGAGTGCGGAGAGAAAGTACCACAGCGACGTCGTGCTCGCAAGTAGGGAACCAAGAGAACGGACAACGCGTTGGAAGTATGGCTTCGGCTCATGTGACGCAGGCAAACGCGACAACGAGAATGACTCGGAGGGAGATGCAGGCTCGAGTTGGTCGCCGAACAAAGATTGGTGAGTTTTGCAGCGGATTTTTTTTTGATTTTGAGGGGAGGAGGGGGGGGAAGGCAGGGATTCATCCCTTCCTTGTGCCGCCGCCTCTCTCTCTCGACATACATGCTACTGTCAATGTAAACCATGCAATGGCCACCTCTGTGGGTATGGTCTTGCCTTTCTCTGGCGTTTCTCTCGGTCAATACCGGCTGCCGCGCAGGAGTCGGCCGGGAAAAAGTAGCCCTCGTCACTGGACCCCCTCCCCCCCCCCCCCCTGCTGATGTGATGGCTACACAAGCTCGACTCGCTATAGCCCGCACCAGCACGCCTTGCGATTGTAGCACCCATACTTGCTCCTTGTTTGCTCATCTTCTTTGGTCCCCCGCTGCCGCCATGCCTGCGGCGATACGCCAATGTTTTTTTCACTGGACGCTCACTCACGCCTCCTCGCCACCTCAGTTGCCACCCTGGGCCCAGCATCATGGCCGCTGATTCCCGAACTGCTCCGAGCAGGCGTCAACGTGTTCCGGGTCAACTTTTCCCACATCGATGTGACCAACAAGGAGCACACAGCGACGACGCTGGCGACGCTGCAGACGATCCGGTCAGCAGCCGAAGAACTTGGACTTGGCGACTCGGTGGGAGTCCTTGCCGACCTCTGCGGACCCAAGGTGCGATGCAACGGGTTTGCCGCTCCCGGCACCATCATGCTCACCGCCGGCGAGTCGGTCGTCCTTGAGGCGAGCGACGACGACGGCGAGCCGGGCATCATCCGCACCGGCATCTACGATCTGGTCGCCGAGCTGAGCGTGGGCCACAGAGTCCTCCTTGACGACGGCATCATGGCGCTCGAGGTCCACCGCCGCGAGAGTGAGAATCGCGTCGTGTGCGAGGTCAAGGTCGGCGGCGTGCTCAAGGCCAACAAGGGCATCAACGTGCCAGACCTGGCGGTGGCAGGCATCAAGGCACTGACCGACAAGGATAGGGCGGACGCAGCCTGGATTGTTGCCCACGCGCCCGAGCTTGTTGACTACTTTGCGCTCTCGTTTGTGCAGCGTCCTGAAGACGTGTTCGAGCTCCGCACGCATCTGGCGAACCTCGTCAACGGCAACGACACCGATGCTGATGCCAACCAGCCCGTGTGGGGCATCATCGCCAAGATCGAAAAGCCGCAGGCTGTGGAGGCCATCGTCGACATCGTCGGCGTTGCCGACGGCGTCATGGTCGCTCGTGGCGACCTCGGCATCGAGTGCGAGCTCCACCGCGTCCCGCGCATGCAGAAGCGCATCATCGAGGTCGCCAACCTCGCAGGCAAGCCCGTCATCACCGCCACCCAGATGCTCGAGTCAATGCAGCAGGCCCCAACTCCCACCCGCGCCGAAATTGCCGATGTCGCCAACGCCATCTTTGACGGCACAGACGCCGTCATGCTCTCGGGCGAGTCGGCCGTCGGCAAGTATCCCATCGAGGCCGTGGCCACCATGGTCCGCGTCGCCCGCGACGCCGAGATCGACCACGCCCGCATCCATGTCCCTTCCGTCGTCCAGAAGGACATTCACGCCTTTATGCGCACATCGCGCCCGTCTGTCACCCTCGACACTGCCGAGCGGACCGCCGCCCTCGGCGTCGCCGCCGTCCTCACGGCCTCGTTTGTCGGCGCTCACGGCATCGTCGTCCTCCCAGCCACCACCGACTACAACTCGGTCCTCCTCGTGGCGTGCACCCGACCCAAGCCCAAAGCCCTTATCATCGCCGTCGAGCATTCGCGCCGCTCGGTCCGTCGCCACATCCTCTGCGGCGGCGTCTTTCCGCTCTACGTCCCGCCATACACCTCGGCCGACGATGCCATGGTCAAGGTCGAGGCATCCATCGCCGCCTTTCATCTCGTCGACGACTATGACTCACTCGTCATCTGCTCCGCCTTTCACCGCACCTACCCGCTCCTCTCCAATCTTGTCCGTATCTACGAGTTTGGCGAGGCCTCGCGCGCTCTCGTCGCCCGCGGCCGCTGGGCCGCCGCCGTCGACTTTGTCCGCGCTCACTCGGCCGACATCGCGCACATCGACGACTCGCCGCCGCTCTCTTCATCTCCCTCCACCATTGCCGATCATGCCGCTGCTGCTGGTGCTCCACCTCTTGTCTCCTCCGCAACTGCCTCGGCCTCATCTGCCGCGCATTCAGGTCTGGCCGTCTCCGAGCCGTCGCTATGAGTCTTGTGGCAAATTTTGGTGATCAATCGCAACTGCTCGTCTGCCCCACATCACCCCACTCTCCACAGCCATCGTAAAGCCACAACCTGACTGTGCTCGTCACCCCCCTACTGCAGGCATCCTCTGTCTCTACCCATACATACTTGGGCAATCCATCATCTTCGGCATGAGCCTCACGGATCAGGTGCCGAGCTCCATCTATGCCTACCTTGTTTGCAATGAGAGGAAGAGGCGCACGCGGTGCAGCACTTCAAGAGCATTTGAAGACCGATGTCGCACTATATCGTCGCCCACATCATCTACAGAGGGCATACATTGCCCGCCGCCGTTGTCAGCACATCTCCTTCACCGCTCCGCCGCGACTGGCAACCGCGTACGCACAGATCCGCCTCCAACCCGCCGCCATCATCGAGCCATCCCACATCATCTACATCACTCGCTTCACTCCAGCGCATCAAACACAGCAGCAAACTGCCGTCATCAAATGAATGCGTTTGTTGCCCAGCGTAGCGGACTCCGCCTGCCGCCACTGGCCCGCTCCGCCCCGCTCCGCCCCGCACCCACGACCCGCCAGCGTCCCCCTCCCCCAAGCCCCCTCCCACCACTTCCTCTCCTACTCACAGACGCATACGCACAAAGGGCACTCCAGCAACCACCCCTCCTCGCTCCCTCCGTTCCGCCGCCTACACTCGGACACGCCCGACTCGTCTCCGCTCGGTGACATCCTTGAGGATCTGCCGTCGCCGTCGGCGGCCTCTGGGACCGACTCTCCCGAAATGCTCGACAGCACTAGCTCGGGCTCGTATCCGATCCCCATCCGTGTCGGTCGCTCACGGAAGCTGCCCGAGCCCGTGGACCGCGGTGCACCCGGCGTCCCGCCGCGGGCGTCGTCGGCTACCCCGCCGCACTCAGCGTCGTCCTCAGGCGCCGCTCCGTGGCGAGTGCTCGTCAACTCGGTCCGCTCACCACGTACGCCCCGCACACCTATCATTTGCACGTCCGTGCCTCCAGGGTTCACCGCTCGCAACCTGCTCGTCTACCTCG